GGAAGACATATTACAGATAACATCATCAGTGCTTATGAGTGTCTTCACTTTATGAAACACAGCAAGGCCAAGGTAAACAGTTTTTGTGCCCTAAAGCTCGATAATGATAAAGCTGGGTTTCGCTCCAGCCTGGGTACAGTTCGTCATGAACATGGTGCGTTCAGTTTCGTTCTCAGTGCTTTTTAATGGTGAGAGACTAGACACTTTCTATCCATCCAGAGGTATTCGGCAGGGAGATCCGATATCCCCACATCTCTTTTTAATCGCAGCAGAGAGCCTTTCGTGCCTACTGAAATCCAGTTCCTCGTCGTCTCAGCTAGAAGGGATCAAGGTGGCACCACGACGCCCGTCGTGAACCATCTCCTTTTCGCCGATGATAGCCTGCTGATGTTTAAATCAAGTGTTAAAGGGGCTGTTGCAGTATCAAACCTATTGGAACGCTACTGTTTGGCTTCAGGACAGCGCATAAATCATGAGAAAGCATCTATCTTTTTCAGCAGAGGTTGTCCACGGGGTATGAGAGAAAATATCAAAACTACTTTGAATGTTCAGAATGAATCCCTCAGCGACAGGTGAGGGAGTCCTGGACTAGGGGGTGTCCGGATAGCCGAACTATCACCGTTGGCCGGACTCCTGGACTATGAAGATACAAGATTGAAGACTTCGTCCCGTGTCCGGAGGGGACTTTCCTTGGCGTGGAAGGCAAGCTTGGCGATACGGATATGTAGATCTCCTACCATTGTAACCGACTCTGTGTAACCCTAACTGTCGGTGTCAAAACCGGCGGATCTCGGGTAGGGGTTCCCGAACTGTGCGTCTAGGCGGATGGTAACAGGAGACAAGGGACACGATGTTTTTACCCAGGTTCGGGCCCTCTCGATGGAGGTAAAACCCTACTCCTCCTTGATTAATATTGATGATATGGGTAGTACAATAGTAGATCTACCACGAGATCGAAGAGGCTAAACCCTAGAAGCTAGCCTATGGTATGATTGTTGTTCGCCCTACGGACTAAAACCCTCCGGTTTATATAGACACCGGAGAGGGTTAGGGTTACACAGAGTCGGTTACAATGGTAGGAGATCTACATATCTGTATCGCCAAGCTTGCCTTCCACGCCAAGGAAAGTCCCATCCGGACACGGGACGAAGTCTTCAATCTTGTATCTTCATAGTCTAGGAGTCCGGCCAACGGTGATAGTTCGGCTATCCGGACACCCCCTAATCCAGGACTCCCTCAGTAGCCCCTGAACCAGGCTTCAATGATGACGAGTCCGGCGCGCATATTGTCTTCGGCATTGCAAGGCGGGTTCCTCCTCCGAATACTTCATAGAAGATTTTGAACACAAGGATAGTGTCCGGCTCTGCAAAATAAGTTCCACATACCACCGTAGAGAGAATAATCCTTACACAAATTCAATCTGCTGACGTATTTTACGGCGTGACATCACATCACGGCCAAGCCTTTATTGGAATCATTTTTACTGTCCCACCTCAGCGTGTTTAGCGAGACGGTTTCTTTGGCACGTCTTGTCAAAGCAGAGATTGTGTCCCCTTATTCCGGGATTCTTATCAATGCGGGCGTGGGTAACCCAACCGCGCCATTGATTAGGGCGCTTGGGAGATAAGCGAGTTTTATCAGGCTAGTGGGGACGCATAGTTTCGTCCATCC